CGACAACCTACGGGCCGGGTGGCTCGTGGCCATGTCTAAGTAAAACTATGTAGTATATATAAAAGGAAAACAAATCTATAGATAATCTATTCTCAATTCTCATTTTCACATCTATTGCCATATATATCTAAAGTGATGACAACTAAATCAAAGAATGAAATTTCCAAAAAAAAAAGAAAAAAATGAGAACTATCTCCGAATATAAGCTCCATCCAAAACTCTATACAGATGAACAAGCAAACAAACAAGAGTTATTACTATGAAAAGTGAAAACTATTAATGATATTTCTCCTCGCCAACAAAAACCTTGACCAAAACCCTCTTTTTGACTCGGTCTTTCTACACCCCTTTTGAATTTCTCCGTCTTTACTTCTCCGCCAAACGAACGCCATCGACCTGCTCTTCTTGAACGAGTCCTGCCCGGCTGGTGCATTCTCGAAAAACCTCGCGCTCGACTTTTCGTAGCGCACGACGGGAGACGAGTAGGAAGACGCGTTGGAAGACGAGAGGGAGGAAGCATACGAGGAGGACGAAGGGCACGAGTACATAACTTTCGGGCATCTCGAAAGGCCGTGGTTCGCAACTTTCGAGAGCTTTTCGTTCAGACAAAGGGAGCAGACGCCGGGTGATTGCCTGTGTTTCGGGTGTTTTTTGCAGGGGGAGTTGGGTTTGGTTCTGGCGGCCGCCCGCCGGATTTTGGGCTTTGAAAAATCCATGTTTGTGTGTGTGTGTGTGTGCTTTTTTCCTTTTGGTGTTTTTAAGGAATTTTTTTGGAATGAAGAAGTTGTGGGTGTGGATATATATATATATATAGAAGGAGAGAGTAAAGAATGGGTGTGGGTGGGTGCATGGGGTGTTTCTCAGATGTTTCATATATATTAGGAGAGCTGTGTGTGTGTGTGTGTGTTTTATTTTATTTTATTTATTTTTTATTTTTTTCTTTTTGCCTAAAAAGATGTAAGTCTTTTGATGGGTTGTGTGTCATGTGTGTGTGTGTGTGGATTTTCTTGAAAAAATATGTAAAAGATAATTTTCTTAATGTGTTTTGTTTCTTGGATTTGATTAAGTTAAAATTGTAAAAGCCTCGTGATTTTAATTACTATTAAATTGTGGTAAGATGCCTTAACTTGCTAAAAAGTTTTGGTCAAACTAAATAGTTGTGAAGGAGTTGCTTTGCTTTGTGTGGGGTCCACCTCGCACAAGCCACGTGTATTTTAAGGTTATTAATATATGGAGATTTTACTGTTTCATTCGTCAGAGTTTGTAACCGTTAGATCAACTATAAAAAAAACAGTTACATGTTAAGCTAACGATTACAATGAAGGGTCCCGTAATTCACTGTAGCATTTCCTATCAATATACCTCGCTAGCTAGTTCAAAGAGTTCTTAAGGAATTATCTACGTCAAAACACAATGAACATATGATAAGCACCCCATGCACCCAGCTTAAAAATGAACGATTAATATCATTTCATTACTAGTATAACAATTGTATATTACAAAGATACTTGTTAAATAATTATCTTAAATTTTAAAATTAATTAGAAAAATATTTTAAACTTTAAATATTTTTTTTACAAAAAAATATATTATTGTATATTTTAGAATAACACTTATTATTTGAGCGAGTTAAATGTGTTATATTATAATATTTTTTCTAACTTATAGCATATAACTAATTGAAACATAAATATATTAATTGATAAATAATTTTATTTTTGTAATTAATATTGTAAAATAATTTTATTAATGTTAAGAAGATAAATATAATTTACTTATTTTATACATATGTCAAGTCGAAACTCATCAAACGATGATTAATTTGACATATTATATATGTAAAATTGATAAAACAAAATACAAAAGTTAGTAATTTTTTAAATACATTTATAATTCAATGATATAATAAGAAATTATATTAAAATATAATTAATACATGTAACACACCATAAATAATCAACATACTTATGGATAATTATGACCTAATTATTTGTGAAATTGAAGTAAATTAAAATCTATCTAAGTCAAATAATGAAGCATGAAATTTTGTCACGTATGATCCCGAAGCATACGAATCTGACATTTAGGCTCAATATATTTGGGAACTATATATAAGGGAGTTATTGATAATATTGAGAATAGTGAGATTGAGTCAAAGATAGTTAGATTTAAAATAAGATTGATTTTTCGTTTTCAAAAAACCTATATACAAGCATGCACTTAAACTGAGCTTAACACAATTGATAAACGAGTTGTGCTTCATCTCATTTAAGGTTGTTTAGTCTACGAATTAAATTCGATCAACTCGTTATACTTCACAAATATAAGTTTTTGTGTAATTTTTTAAATTTTTAACATGATTAGACTTGTTAAAGCTTGGACTAATTAGCTCGTTAAAACTCATTAATGAGCCAAGTTCGACTAACTAATTTAACTAATCCAGTTCTGTTCGGCTCACCACAATAAAGGCTTGAGACCAAGTTCTAGTATCAAAAATCTAAGTTTGACTCGTTTACAACTCTTAGTGTGACCCAAAGTAGATAACTTTGGTAGTGTATTTCTTGAAGTTTTATCACATTAGTACATGAACAGAATGTTGTTGTCAGATTGTCATATATATAGTTAGGATAAAGTGTGAATGAGTCAGAGTGAAAGAAATAAGAATGGATTGAAACAGACGGATGTGATATATCAACACTTCAGGTACAGTCAAATGGTTCAACTTTGGTTAATAGAGCGAAGGCACTATTGTAATTATGTAGACTTTTGATTTTTCATACGTGGTGAGTTTAATAATTGCACAGAATACAATGTTACTCAAATGTACTTTTGATTTTTCATACGTGGTGAGTTTACACTACAAAAATAGAGTTCTAGTGAAGAATTTTGTTGTCACTGTGTTGTCACTATATCTACTGTCACTATATCTACAATTATTGTCACTATATCTACAACAATTGTAGATACAGTGACAATAATTGTAGATATAGTGACAACAACTGTAGATATACTGACAGTAGATATAGTGACAACATAGTGACAACAATCGTAGATATAGTGACAAAAAAATTCTTCACTAGAACTCTATTTTTTTGTAGTGTTAATAATTGCACAGAATACAATG